AATGAAGGTTTCTTTAAACATTAGACATGCTGCTTTCATTAAAAACCTTTGCCTTATTACGAAAACTGCTGATTACACGGAAACTACTGAAACAGTTTCCACAAAACTCAGTGCAGATCTAGTAAAGAGGGCGGTTACATGAATTTTGATCACTTTCTTAAACACTGCGAGATGTTTTTTGACATAGTTTTAAATGTTAAGTGCCCTTTGAAATGTGATGTACAGCAGTCAAATAACTTTTATTTGACTGCTGTACATCTCTAATCCTGGCTGTTATGATTATGATGATCTCAAATAGCAGCACTTCCTTTGGTTCCCGCATTGGTGATCAATGTTATTGTGAAAATGTATAATAAAACTGTTGCATGATTGCATGAAATTAGACTGGTAGTTGAAGTCGGCTAACAAGAAAACTGGAGTCAGGTGTAAACAAACCTAGAGTCTAGTCAGTGTTAGTGAGGAGGCAGAAGACCTCAGATCAAGAATTGTTGATTTGCATGAATATAGAAAGGGTTTCAAAGAATATTAAAGAGTTTCAATATTCATCAGTCCACAGTTAGACAAATTCCATAAATGGAGATGATTTATTTACGTGGCTACTCTCTTTAAAAGTAGGTTTCCAGTTATGATGACTCTAAAGGCACAAAACAGAAGTATCAGCTAAGGTTCAAACTTATGATTGGATCCTGTTAATATCTCATGGTTAAATCATGGTTCATGGTTGCATTAAGTAATGTGTCCATGGAAGGACGTAACTGAAGAAGCTGCTTCTCTGCTAAAAACATCACATGCATGCCTAAAGTTTGCCAAAGAGCAGCTTGAAATTCCACAATGCTCCTGGGAGTATTTTTTGCAGGCTGATGAAACTAAGGTTGAATTGTTTTGGAGGAACACTCAGAACTACACATGTTGTAAACAGGCAACCGCATACCAGCGTGAAAACATCATACCAGAGAAGAGATAGGGTGGAGGGAGAATCATGATTAAGGGTTGCTTTGCTGCCTCTGGGCCTGAACGACTCAACAACATCAAGGGGAAATAAATTCCCAGGTTTATCAAGGTATTTTACAGGATAATGTCAAAGTGGCAATCTGCCAGGTATCGCTCGGTCGAAGCTGGGTGACTGTAAACACCGAAGTAAATAGAGAATGACTTCAAACAGTCAGAGCCCACCACGAAACCCAATAGAGGAATGAGCTGAGCTGAGGTATTTCTGTTTGAACAATGGTCAGAATGTCTCCTCAAGAATATTCCATTTATATTCCCTTTTACATGTTAGAGAGCATTGTCGGTGTCATGCAATTGCTTACTTACATATATGTTCTAAAAACTCACATAGGACGTTAATGCTATTTAAGACATCTCTACATAATGCAAATAAAATCAGAATACGCCACGTCTTAATTTGAATATTGCTTTTTCCGTGTATGACCATATTCAAGTTAAAGTAATCAGAAAATGCAGTTTACATGGCAGTTTGTGATTCAGACTATTGATTTAATCAGGTTAATATCTGAAAATTGGTGTCCGTGAAAACATGTCTACTGTGCAGTTAATACTCAAGAATAAACAAGAAGGTTGAAGTTTATTGCTGCCAAACAAGGCTCAACCAGTTATTAAATAGCAGGCGTTCTCTTATCTTTTCCAACAGTATTGTAAATGTTTAATTGAGGAAAGTATAAATATTATTATAATATTATATATTTTAGTATTATTAGTTTAAGAACATTGTGTTAGCCTAGAGATTTCATTGAGGTGGAGATCAGATCACATTTTATTTACTAATTAATGCCAAAAACAAACAAAGTAATTCCAAAGAGTTCACAAACTTTTCCTTGTCGTTCTATATATTGCCCCATAAATCATCATGGAAATCTAAAATGGAGCCATTTTTGATGGCATTGGGTTTCTGTACTTTGTGTATTTGATCATTTATAGGAAGATCTTTGAACGGACTGTTTTATTCTTTTTACACCCACCTGCTTGTTTATTAAGTACATCTTAAAGGTTCAGTGTGTAGAATTTTGTGGTGAAGTTGCATGTTGCAGCTGAATTCCCCTCACATCACCCTCCCCTTCCAAGCCTTCAGTTGTCCTCAAAAGGTTTAGTTTGTCCAGCCTTGGCTACTGTAAAAACATGGCGGCTTCCATGGAGAGGACCCGCTCCAGATGTAAATATAAAGTATTTAGATATAAAGGGCCCATTCTAGAGTAAAGAAAACTACAATTCCTACATTTTAGATGTAACACACTATTTAAACTAGGATTACTTTATATTCACTGAACCTTTAAACCAGTGCAGTCTATATAAAAACTTAATGAATGCTATATACAAGTCCACTTTTTGTTTTTTAGAGGTGATGATAAAATGTCAGCTTCTGGCAATGACCATAATTTGTAGTGCTTTTGAATTTGATGTTAATGGTGTCCCTCATTTCTGTTTTCAGGATAAACATCATGATGCTGCTCATGAAATCATCGAGACCATACGGTGAGTATATCCAATCTGTGACTCATGTACTGTATGTGCCCACATTCACATTAACTGTAAGTGACTGTGTCAGGTACATGATGAAATTAAGATGTCATGTGTGTACTTTCTCTAGGTGGGTGTGTGAGGAGATCCCAGACCTCAAACTGGCAATGGAAAATTATGTTCTCATTGACTACGACACAAAATGGTGAGCCGCGGGTCACGTGAAAATCTCTTGCTTACACTGATTTTTTTTTTCTTTAGATCATTCTGAAAGGACGTATGATTATAATGCACTTTATATTATGGTAAAATGTAATATGTTGTATTGGCAAGTTATATTTGATCTTATACAAAATTATGTCTTTAATTTTGTGTCTTGTGATTTTCACAGCTTCGAGAGTATGCAGAGACTGTGTGACAAGTATAACAGGGCCATCGACAGCATTCATCAGCTAGTGAGTTCATTTGTGTAAAGGGTTTTCAGCGTTGTGTAGCTGCAATGAAATTTAAAACACTAGTCAAGTGGAAAATACTGAATCTGTCTACTTAGAAATTTTGCCATGCATGACTTGAATTTATGACACATGCCCTTTTGTAGAGTATGTACATGAATTTATGAGTTTGGGTTTTAGTTATTAGTCAAGGTTTTCATCAGAGCCAATCATCTCTATTATATTGCATATTTGTTTGCAGAAAAAAATTTAAATAAATGTTTTTGTTAATTTATGGTCATTTTGTAAACTTCATGTAAAGTTTTTCCTTTTACATTCTGCATTAGTGGTTGAAGCGAATACTGATTTAGATATTCGTTTGAACGACCATTGTAAGTTGATCGCAAAAGGGAAATGCCTCTATGACTTTATATGTTTTTGTTTGTGAATAAATATAGTAATGAGTGTGAATCCCTTCTTACAGTGGAAGGGGACCACCCAGCCCATGAAGCTGAACAAGCGTCCATCCAACGGACTGCTAAGACACATCTTACAGCAGGTGTACAACCACTCAGTGACCGACCCGGAGAAGCTGAACAACTATGAGCCTTTCTCCCCTGAGGTGTATGGAGAGACATCTTTTGACCTGGTGGCCCAGATCATTGACGAGATGGAAATGATGGAAGACGACACCTTTGTTGACCTCGGCAGTGGTAAGTCGGTTATTTTGGGACATCCAGGTTTCAGAAAATATTAGAAGGATTAATGCAGTGGATAAAAAAAGACATCATATGGAGTTTATTCTCTAAAAAGACCAGATGTGTAAAGTTGCAAGACTTGGTCAGGATGTTGGTGTTGGCAGACTGATTGTATAACTTTAGTATAAGATATGTATCTATAAATTAACTTTTAAATTGTTTCCTATTTGCAGGAGTGGGACAGGTAGTGCTGCAGGTTGCAGCAGCAACTAACTGTAAACACTACTATGGTGTGGAGAAAGCAGACATTCCAGCCACCTATGCAGAGGTAACTACTTTTAAAACTCACAGGACCAGATAGTATTCCAGAAAGGGAGCAGAGAAACGTGAGACTATAGCTGAATTAAATCAAATAACAGCACACTGTCAAAAATAAGTGATGTGTTGACGCAGTGCAGTTACAACTGCAGAGAGATTTGGCAATTAAACAGCATTGTCACTGTGTGACGTCTTTGTGTTGGATCAGACTTCATACTGGTTTCATCATTAGTATTTTGTTTTCTATTTTGTTTTTTAATTTCTATTTGCAACACACCCATGCCAGCATGGAATACACATGTCTAAGAACAGCCCCACGGCAAATAGTCTAAATGTTTCATTATGTGCAAGAAGTCTCACTTCAGTTAAACTCAACAGCTAAACAAGTACAACTCAAAATCTCAGCATTAGTAATGATAGTAAAATACACTCAAGATCTCTAGTCTCATCCAGTCAGGACCAAGCACCGGATATGGGGCGAAACAAATCCGAGACTGCACCAATCTTACAATGTTCAAATCACAAATCAAAACTCACCTTTTCAGAGCTGCTTTTAATGTGTGATGTATGTTGTTTGTACTTTTTAGTGTAGCTTTTTATGTTATTCTAATGTCTGTAAAGTGTCTTTGAGTAATTTGAAAAGCTCTCTATAAATAAAATCTGTTATTGTTATTAGATAAGTTGCTAATCTTTTTCTCCTGGAACCACCTCTAGTACACAGACAGAGCATTTTATTTTTATTTTTACTTGTATTATAATATGTTAAATTCTTTCAGAGCATGGATAAAGAATTTAAGAGGTGGATGAAATGGTATGGGAAGAAACATGGGGAATACACAGTAAGTTGACTCAGTGTGGTGTTTTCACACCTCCAAATATTTAAAATATTCAGTGTTTGGTAGGTACGCAGATATTCAGCATCTTTACCCTAACTTTTCTTTATGTGTGGTTTTTTTTTCAGCTGGAGAGAGGGGATTTTCTCTCTGAGGAATGGAAAGAAAGAATTGCCAACACAAGGTGGTAAACCAAACTTTGTCACAGGAATTGTCTGAAAGACACAATCTCCATAAATCTTACACCATTAAATTAAATTTACACTGATACAGTGAATCAGGAAATGTAATGTTCACTGACAAAAAGTATTTCAGATGTTTTGGTTGTGATGTTTGATATAAAGTCACTAAAACCATGTTAAATGAACAAGTTTAACTCGGGTCACAGAGATAAAAAACATCCTGTGCAGTATTCCCATTTGAAATGTTTAGAAGAAATGTAATAAACTTGTCTGTCCCCTTTGCTATGTTGTTAAAACATATTCCTCTCTGAAAACCTCATATTTGCTTGGTAAACAAATGTTTTGCTGTCGACTGTAGATCTGAAATATGTCCCTCTCTGTCTGTCTTGCAGTATTATTTTTGTGAATAACTTTGCCTTTGGTCCAGAGGTAGATCACCAGCTGAAGGAGCGCTTTGCAAACATGAAGGAAGGTTAGTATTTTGCAGCTAAACACTGAAGTATGATTGTGGTTACTCCTTGAGTTGTTTAGGTGGGCTTCAAAACAGCAGCAGTATATTAAGTTCAAAGTTTGAAGCAATAGTCACAATGAAATCCTGTTCAAAGTGACAGGGTTAACAACAAATTATTTTAATAAGAAAAAATGTTTGACTGCACAATGTGTAAAATTTACTACAAAATAAATGTATCCTTATTTTTTTCTGTTATTTTTTTATCCGCAGGTGGAAAAATAGTTTCCTCCAAACCTTTTGCACCTTTAAATTTTAGAATAAACAGTCGAAACTTGAGTGGTAAGTATCACAATCAGTGAAAAATAAGATTTTAAATGTTTAAAGCTTATTTTGCTTTTGTATATAATGTGTATGCATTTCTCTGTATTGCAGACATTGGCACAATAATGCGTGTGGTGGAACTTTCTCCACTGAGGGGCTCCGTGTCCTGGACTGGAAAACCAGTTTCCTACTACTTGCATACCATAGACCGCACCATAGTAAGTTCTGAAACTTTTCATCTCTGCTCATGTAACCGGTGATTAGAGGTGGACAAAAATGCAGACACTTGAATGACTAGCAGAGGAAATCTTGTGAATAATAAAACACTACTATGTGCCAATACATAATAGATTATACACTAACACTAACCTCAGCTCAAGAGGTAGGCTGCCGTAACAGCAGCTGTTATTATCTTAATGAGTAGTCAGTCTCAGGAGTTAGCAATCTGAGGAGAGAGCACACGGGGTTATTCAAGGTGAAACAAGCCCATTAGATAATACTGAAGTGTGTGTCACTCTGGCAGTAGGTTAAAGTAGTTCCTGGTAACCATAGGGAATCCCAGTGAGACAGCTGCAAGGCTCCCTAGAAGCTGCTGGTAACAATCTAAATGTGTTTTGTGTTTTGAATTACTACTTTAGATGGACAGCTGTACAGTCTGTACTCACTCTTTATAATGTTGTTGGTGGTGGAACTTCTTGAAATGCAACCAAAGCAGTAACAGTGTCACAGTAGGGATGTGGCTGTAGTGTTTTGTCCCTCAGAGAAAGGCATTTGGTCAAGCTGAACAGAGTTAGGCCACATGCAGACTTAAACTGTACTTTCAGAATATGCAGCCCACTCATTCATTTCAATGAAGCCATTCTGGCAGGTCAGCAGGGGTGCCAGAAAATGCACAGTTATCCCAATGAAAGTTCAACCACGTCACAACATGAATGCCACAATGCAATGTTATGTGGCAAGACCCTTTGGTAGCAATTCAAATACACAGAAGCACTCCTTTGTAGTGTATTTGTTTGTAACTGCTTATCTTTCTTTCCACTATTTGACGAGGTAAAGGATTCATCAGTTTGCATTGTGATTACTTTTTATGTTTAAGTCGAACTGTACTCCCTGTCACCAGTACCTATAGTAACACATCAGTGTAGCCTACAAACACAAGGCTGACATTTTCATCACCATTTTAATGCAGCTGTGAATGGGTATTTGTTTCTTAATATGCACTAAATATAAATTATTAAATGATAAAATGTCACTTTTGAACTGTGGTTGTCAGTCTCTTGGGTGGAATAATCACTAAAAATAATGACTAATAGATTCAACGGTAAAATGAAATATCTAACTTTGTTCTTGTCTTTTTCAGCTTGAAAACTATTTCGCTAGTCTCAAAAATCCTAAACTCAGGGTAAGTCCTACTCTTCCTCCTCAGTATAAACATGGTGTCCCTCAATGTACGTATTAAAATGGTTCATCTTGTATCAGGAGGAGCAAGAGGTAGCTCGGCGACGTCAGCAGAAAGACACGAAGGAAAGTAAAAGCAATAGTACCACGCCCACAAAACTGAAAGAACAAAACAAGGTAGGACACAATTTACTTAATCTGTTTTAAATTTTGCAATATTAGGTGTCATTTTACACTTCATTGTGTTGAACTCTGCAAGGAGAGGTTCCTGTCCCCTTTGTGTTAATATATGTTTGTCTATATGTATTACAGCAGCAGGACTCCTGTGGCGAGGAAGAGTGTCCTAGCCTGGTGACAGTGGTCAAGCCCTCCGCAAAACCCAGGAGAGCCCGACTCTTGTCCAAAGGTCGAAAGTTGAACAACAAGAAGCGCGGCCGACCCAAGAAAGCTGCCCCGGCTGCTGAGAAGAAAAACAAGAAGAATCAGAGCGCGCTGGATTTGCTGCACGCCAAGACCCTTTCTGCGGCACCCCCTCAGGGTCAGAGCTCACACACATATTCATGCACAAACATAATAAGATCAGTTTCCTTCCTTCTGAATGGAAACATAAGACCAGTCATTGAAATCTTAAGCTGCCTCATATCACAGAAGAGACAAATATCTTCATAACTATATCACTGTGCAGCTCATTTGACTTTAACTTCAACATGCTTACTGTGTGTCCAGATGCATACCGGCCACCTCAGAGTCCCTTCTACCAGCTACCTCCCAAGGTCCAGCACTATCCCTCTAGTCAACTGCTGCTGAGCCAGACTCCACCTGGTCTGCAACAACTGCTAGGTAAGCCGACTAAGATGCACCAGACCTTGTACAACTCTATGTCAACGGAATGCAGTTTTTAAAAATCCATTTGATTAAAATTGAACATGCCGTACAGTAAAAACGACTTGGAAAAGGTGATCTGTTTATGACAACAGTATACTCGGTACAAAAAATATCAAATATCGTAGGTTTTATGAACAGCAGAGTTTACAAATGAGGACAGAAGGAGAGATACAAAGTCTGGTGAGATAACACTCATTACCTTGACTGAATCAAAACAGTATAAGGCTATGTACACACTAATGCATTTTGAAATGAAAATGTTCCCCATTTAGAGAAGTGCTTTCCCTCGGAATCAGAAATAGTCATTCATGTACACTTAGCATGCAGGTTCCTATGGGGATTGTAACAATAATCCATTCTAATGCCTCCTGCACATGTTGGCAGTTGCAGCATTTTTAAAATGCTATTTAACTGCACAACAGCTGCTAGCAAAGACAGCAAGGTCAGCAGTGTTTGTCATCCATTATCCATGTTGCATTCACTGCTGGTAGTCGAGACTGATGCCGTTTGTTTTGTTCCTGAATAGGATCATATAATAGCAGTGTTCTGTATCAGGGAAAGATAAGTAGTGACTGATAAGACCCATTCAGGAAGGAATTATGGGTGTCTGCTTCATCTTCTCCAATGGTCTCTGTTTCTTCCCGTCCTGACTGAAATACAATCCCATAGTATTCATAAATAGTAGAGTGGATGTCTGCTGTAAATGTGGCAAAAATTATGCATTTAAAATAAAAAACATATCAGTGTAGATATAGCCTCAAACACATTTGACTTTCTGCCTAACAAATAATGTATTTTGTTTTCTTGTTTCTCCCCATGTGTCTTGAATCCTTTTCACAGATAACATCAAAGTTCAGTACATCCAGTTTATGACCTACATGAAGACTCCTCAGTACCGCTCCAACCTGCAGCAGCTTTTAGAACAAGAGAAGGTATGAAGTAATATCATTACATACGCTACTGATTTGCTACTGCTGCAATTTTGACAAAATATATTATAGGTTGCATGTATTCATGTACATTTTTTCTATCTGCAAAAGTAATTTAAAATGCTGATTGCTCTTTTTTGGTCCATTCACTTACCTGTATTGTTGTTTACGTCTCTGCAGCAAAAACACAGGGACCTGTCGGGACAGGCGGAGCAACTCCACTCTGTCTGTCACTCTCACAAGGACAAAATCAAAGGTCTCTTTCAGACTAAACTAGATGAGGTAGGAACTACAACTGTATTGTACTTTATATAAACACAGTCAACAACATTCCTATAAACTATCTTATACTGACATCCAGGAATTTGCTCTAGTTTTCTATCCCCTATCATGTCTTTATCCATCCTTCTTAAAGGTCCGGTGTGTACGATTTAGGTGAAAGGGAACTATTTGCAGAAATGTAATGTAGAATAATCCTCATGATGTTTTCACTAGTTAATTTCATCTAAATTGTATGAATTGTAGTTTTCTTTACCCTAGAAAAGGCCCTTTATATTTACATACTTTGTATTTACGTCAAGGGGGTCCTCTCTACGGAGGCCGCCATGTTTTTTACATCCACAAACTGGACAAACTAAACACTTTTTGAGTTTTTATGAAAACTGAAGGCTTCCACAGTTTCTTTTTCATCTTTGGTAGGAGAGTGTGAGGTGAGGGGTGTTCAGCTGCAACATGCAATGTCAACACTAGATATCACAAAATTCTACACACTGTACCTTTAA